AGCTGGGGCAGTGAAAGAACTCATTCTTTGCTTCTCAACCTGTTTTCCAATTGCTACTTCCCAACTCTGAGACCCCTAGAGAAATACTGAATTGCCCTAAGCCTTCATTGCATGGGGAAGGGGCAGGTGTGCACAAGTCCCTTTTTTTGTCAAAATGCAACTGCATTCCATGGAATACATTTTAAGAATCTTTCAGAGTGAGTAGGGACATATGGAACTTTTCAGTTTTGGGATTATAAGGGAAAATCTGTAGATGTGTAGACACAGACAGATGCAAAGGACACAACAGGATAGTGTAGACAGAGCACAACCTTGAGTACCACATACTTGCTTTTCAGCGAAAGGAGAACCTGCTGTGTTACTTTTCAACACAGGAGAGCAGGAAAGACTCCTGAGGAAAGAGAATGTCAGAGCTGTGAAGCAAGTGTGAAGACAGAGGCAAAGGGCAGGGGTAACTGTCCCTGCACCCTCAGTTCAGACGGTCTTGTTCAGATGAAAACCAGAGGGTGTGAACGCCATCATTCTATGTATGAGATGCTTCAGATTCAACACTAGCCTGTATGGTGTAACCTCCAGGTGATGCTATGGTCTTTAAAAGCTGCACATGGAGGCAGGTGCCTGGAGACTAAGACTTAACATTTCTAATGTGAAGTTGCAATGGAAGGAGCTATTTGAGTGCAACTGCAGGTCTGTCAGTCTCCTCACTAGAAGACCCTGAAAACCAATCTGAGAGAGAGGAGTCCTCTTTCTGTACCCAGGGTCTGTTACATGCTTGTGCAGCAGGTCCACGGAGGGTGACAAGGAACAATTCCAAGTCATATCTGAAAAAATAAAATCGTAACTGCTGATGGTGATCATGTTGGAATCAGTTCCTGGCTGATTGGTCAGATGGGTAGTGAAGAGATTCAGGCCACATTGGACACTGCAAGTATACATTTGGCCTTCCTCCCTTCCTGTGGTGTGATGGAGGAGGCAGGAAAAATGCCTTCTCAGCTTGGTGCTCTTTGAAGGTGCCTGTCTGCAAGGCACAAAGAGGGTTGTGAAGTCATTCCCTGATTTATTCCTCTAACAAATGAATCCTGGGGATCTACATTGTGCAATGGTACTCATGGCTGTAATGCTTCAAAAGTAACACAATTCATTAATATTTCAGAGCTGGGCTGATTATCTGAGGCTTTCCCTGAGGCCCTGATGTATGGAGGAGGAACATAGCTCCATCTCAAAACCATCTGGCCTTCTCCATGTTCAACTGCAAAAGTGTTATCTTCAGTGGTATGGCTTAACCATCAGACAATAGCCTGTGATGTTTGTGGGTTTCCATAGCGCCCCTTAGGCCAATGTCTCAAGAAGATGTAAGCCACTCCTGTTCCTCAAGGTTTTGCTTAGTGTCATTAGGTGTCTACTTAGGGCACTGTCTCCCTTGTTTTGGTGACTCCATTTAGATTCCTTTCACATATGAATATTATTTAGGAAGCTTCTACAGCAGTACTGCTAGTTGTCCTACCCCATATTCCCTCCTTTACCCTTATCTCCCACTCAACCACCTAGTTAACTTCCTATTCTAATTTTCTCTCTGTCCCTCATAACATTGCAATGTATTTCTCCTTCCTTGGGAGAGCTTTTCCTCTGCTCTAGTCCTATTCTAGGTTCTTAATCTCCATGGTTATTCAGAATACGGTTATTATAGCAAACAACAAAAGATTAAAGGTAATATCCATATATAAGAAAAAACATACACTCTTTTGTCTTTTGTATCTGAGTTCCCTCAGATTATTTTCTTTTTGGCTCCATTGATTTAGCTACAAATTTCAGAATATCATTTCTCTTAATAGCTGAATAATGTTCCATCATGTAAACATACCACATACTCATTAATCATTCATCAGTTAATATTAACTGTTACTGATACTAACAGCCAGACTATTTCTAATTTGTGGATATTATAAATAAAGCAGCAATGGGCATGAATGAGCACATGTGTCTGTAGTAAGATGTGCAGTCCTTTGGGTGTATGCCACAGTGTGGTAAAACTGGATCTTATCAGCTTCTTTGTTGTTTGTTTGAGGCAGAGTCTGTTTGCATAGCACTGGCTGTCAGGAAACTCATTATGTAGATGCCAGACTGTCCTCAAACTCACAGAGCTCTGCCTGCCTCCACCTCACAAGTACTGGGATTAAAGCATGCATCACCATGCCAATGTTATGTACTTTGAGGCTGATCAATTCCCAGCTTCCTAAGGAACCACTACACCAATTCCCATATCGGCTGTATGGGAGTTTAGACTCCCAGTAGCAAGGAATAAGTAAGTGTTCCCCTTTCCCCATATACTCACCAACATGGGTTGTCATTTCCTTTATTGATCTTGGCCATTGTGACTAAGGTATGATGAAATCTCAAAGTAGATTTGATTTGATCCAACTTTTGGTGTTTACACGGTGTTTGGTAAGACATTTCTCATTTCCTTTTGTAAGGTTCTTGAGCATATTCGTAATTGCTATTCCGAAGTCCTTGTTGTATTGACACAGTTCAGCTCCAGAAAGGACAGAGGAGTTCAGCTCACAGTGACTCTTTCCACCTTGACTTAAAGTCGGAGAGTTCAGGCTTGTTTTTGCTCCTAAAGGCCAAATTAAAGGATGACTGGCCAAAGGCCTGGATTAATAGATGCTTTGAGGATTAAGGAGATGATTAAGCTTGTTTTTTTACTTGAATCACGATAAAAGAGCTATGAGAAATAAATTCCACACGGCTGCTGTATTTCCTGAGAGCCCTCTTGAATGTAGCCAATATCTTCTCTCTCTCTCTCCTCTCTCTCTCTCTCTCTCCTCACTTTTTTTTCTTTAATTCCCACTCCCCTATTCAGGTACTGTTCCACACATTGCCTGGCCCTGACAAGGTCTCAAAGAGGAGTTGTGGATTCAGCAAAGAGAAGAAACAGACTGACAGATCTGAGAGTCAGGATGGATGCTACTTTATTGGAAAAAAAAAAAAAAGGCTACACCTTTTCTACTCTGTAACTGCACAAAAGTTTGACTATAGGCAAGATCGAAAGCAGACTTGTTGATTCAGGGATGAAGCCCACCATTAACTTTATTACAGCCTTTTTCCTGAGACAAAAGCAATCCAGCAAGTTTCCAAATGCCTGTTGTTCTCTGCCTGTACCAGGAGCCTTCTTATTCTCATGAAATGGTCACAAATTCCTCCTGCCAGAGGTAAAGAGAATGACTGCTTTTAGCAAGAAGTAACTTTCCTCAAGGCCCGAGCAAATGGAAGCCCTTATCCAAATGCCTGACCTTGGGAAAAGAACTTCTTTTGGGCACAAGACACTCTACTATACTTAGGAACAATTTTTACCCATTTTGGGGCATGATGCAGTGTAAGCACTGAGCTGTGCCTTATTTCTTCCCTTCGTGTCTTAGTCTTTTATATGGACCTGATTCCCCCATAAACTCCCCAAAAGGTAGGTCCTGGTGTCTTACTCTTTTTCGTAAACTTTACCATTCTGAGTCCTCTACACTTATTAAATGAACTCTTGCCCTTAATGGCCGCAGGCTCTGGAGCTGGATTGTACACTTCATCCTTGGGGTCAGTTGTACCAATTGTAAATCTCTAAATTTCTTGTTCTTGATGTATTCAGGGGGACACAGCACAGATTCCTGTGTGCAGAGTCATTATGCTATATGGTTCCATGGTGGTGGTGGGTTTTTCCAAAGAATATTTTGCTTAAAGAATCTGTTGTTGTAATCATTTTCATCTAGGCACCAAATTTTTTCCTAAAGAAAGAGGCATAAGAAACTCCCATAACAGAGTGAGAATCGTTGAAAACTAAAGTAAAAACTTTTACTGGAGAAGTGTGGTCTGCAATGTCTAATGCTGGAACTGTGTCAAGAAGCAGCGGTGGCCAATCACCATGCAGTCCACAACATCTGATGCTTCAACTTTATTGCATTTCTAAAACCTGTTCCAGTGAGGTTTACTGGCTTCTCCAGGAGACATGTTGTCTTGTCTGTCCATGTAGGCAATGGAGATATGATACTCGAGATGCTTCTTGGGGTATATGTTATCGGGTCCCTAATGGGTAGATTTTTTTGTTCTTTGGTTGCTGTTGCCCACTCTGGATCCTAGGCAAGTGTGGTAGCAGTAGGTTCTTAGTATAGAAGGCTTCTGCAGGAGGGAAGGTGACACATGGGAAGAGAGATGGGCTATGAGAAAATGTTCACAGGGGTAGTGGAAAAGACCTAAGAAGACTCTGGTCCCCACCAAGAGGCAAAGTCCCCAGGATGGAGTAGGGAGTCGGGGCCTCAATATTCAGCCCAGTATGGCCTCTGGGAGTTCCTGGGAAAAGGGGTTTCTGTGTATTCCTGGTTGACATGAAGGGAAGTCTGAGAGCATCCAAGGAAAGAGTATAATTTATGTGTGTATGGGTATTTGCATGTGTCCCATGTAGCCAAAAGAGGGCGGCAGATGCCCGAGTACTGGAGTTTAAATTGCTGATGAGGCGGCATGTCTCTCCAGCATGACAATCCCTTTAGAAATTGAAAATAGATCCACAGAGCCATCCCTCTAATGGACACGTGGTTACATTAGTGGAATGAAGGAATTCTGAGATATTTGCTTGTTCACAGAAACGGATCCCTTGGAAGAGACTACTTCACATCACGGATGGAAAATTCCGAGGATTATTCGCGGGAGGGTTAATATTATATAGCGGCAGTGTCACTTGTCCCTCGAAACCAAAGAAGCCGAGGCATGACGTTAAGTGAGGTGAAGCAGCCACCGAGGGACAAATTCCCCAGGATTTCACTTACCCTGTGGAAACTGATTTGTTTAGATGACACAGAGTACTGTGGGGTCACCAAAGGCTTGGGATGAAGGGGGAGACACCTTAGTTACTTTGATTTAGCTGAGTCATACTGCAAATACAATGAATGCCATCATCAAACCGTTTGAGAAGCAAGATCAGTATATCTTTCCAGAATCTATTGAAGAGACTGTTTGTCCTGGTTTTCCGTAGTGTAGTGGTTATCATGCTCGCCTAACACGCGAGAGGACCCTGGTTCGAAACCGGGCAGGAACAAGTTAAGGTATCACTTTCCCTATTTTAAGATTCCTAGCTCACTCCATAAACGTCTCAGGAGTTAGCACTTAAGCATTTCGACGTGGATATTTTAGACCTTGACTGGCGTACTTTCCATGGCCCAACAGACCAGACAGCAAATTCTTTTGTGAAGGCCAGTAAATTCGGTGGGCACACAAAGAGGTATAAGAAAACGGAACCATGACGGCCTGGGGGATTAGCTCAAATGGTAGAGCGCTCGCTTAGCATGCGAGAGGTAGTGGGATCGATGCCCACATCCTCCAACTTTTGTGTTTCTGGGGAAACATGTCTCCCTACAGAATCGGATGATCTTTGGAGATCATGTATATAGAACTTTCAAAATACGTAATGTCTGGAATATGGCTCAGCGGCTTTGTCCTGTTGTAAATCCAAAATTGTACTCACGTCTATAACTAAAGTTTGGAAAACGATCTGAGTACTCCTGCATTGTTGCATTACTCTCATCTTGACACTTCCTTTATGATGGAATGGGGAAGGTTCACCAAAAGGTCACTGTAAATATCACAGCACAGATCTCTGCCAGGCTCCCTGGGAGTGCGGGAGGGACAAAGCTCAGACTGAGGATACTGTCAGGAAAGATCTCTGCCAGAGATCTTCGGACCTGACTAAGCTGTTGGACATTGATGAATGGCTTGGGGTTCTGAAGCCTACCTTCCTCGGTCAGTGTCTCTAGATCAGCAGGAGGCAGGAAACAAGCAGGAGTTCCACGCAGGAAGTCAGGTGGTGAAGAGTCAGTATGGCTGGAGAGAAGGCATGCTGAAAGAATTGTGAGGTGGAGAAACGCACTGGTATCCTGTTGTTTTCCTCTGCTTCAGATTGGATTCTTCTAGAACACGACTCCCTCCATCTGTGCTCTCAGGACACTTAAAACCACAGAAACAATACACAGCTAGAGGACATGGGTCAAAAAAAGTTGCAGTTCTTTAAAAGTGTTTTTGTTGAACAAAAAGACGAAATCATTAGCTTGGCCCGTACGGGGATCGAACCCGCGACCTTGGCGTTATTAGCACCACGCTCTAACCAGCTGAGCTAACCGGCCAATCCAGGCCATGGTTGCTGCTTCTTTTCTACAGGAAGGTAATCCTGAAGATTAGCAATTGTCAATAGATTTCCAACGTGTGTGTTTAAGTTTTAAGGTTTTCTGAAAACAGCCTTGACCCTCACAATAGTCTAAGGTTGAACAATGAAAAGAATGTAAACATCACATTCCACTGCTTGCCGACCCAGTTTTCTCGCACCATAGACAAGCCCCATATGCTTGCTGAGAACAAGTCGCCCTCCCTCCAGCTGCAGAAGGGAAGACTAGAGAGCAGGTTGAGCTGAGTGCTCTTTAAGGGGGTTGTTTAATTAGCTTCCGGGAGATCTCAATTGCAGACTTTCTTCTAAAACTGAAGCTTTACTTGGACCGCAGGAAGATAAAACACAGGACATTGGTGTTATTAACACCACAGTCTAACCAACTGAACTAACCTCCCAGCTAAGTAGTATTCTACAGACGACCTCTACAGTTAGGAAAGAAAACAACTGCCAATTGAGACTTTGGTTTTGTTTGTTTGTTTATTTGTTTGCTTTGTGTTTAGGGACCCCCCCCCTTTTTTAAATTGTACTTTTTAAGCTGGCAACGTAAAAAACAAGAAGACAAAAACACGCGTTGCTGTAAGTTGAAAGTTTCTGTGAACAGAAGACAATTTTGTACGAGGGCAAGTAATGCCACGATGCAATGATTCCTGACCGGACAGACTGGCCCTGGACAGCCCAGTCCACTCGCTCAGTGGCCACCCAGGCTGCCAGGCTCCCTCTATTCTCACTGAGTTCGCCTCCTGCGCTGTTCTGCCTGTTGCCTCCAAGTGACATTTGATAGCCTTCCCAGTTTTACCGAATCAATTCGTCAAAAATATTTGTATAATGCTGTCGGGGGTTCCTCCGCCGGGTCACGGGTCTCTGCTGAGCTGCTAACGCATCGCCCCAGTCTTGCAGAAGCCTGCGCTCCAGCGGCCGGGAGTTCGTGCCCAGAAGATCCGTTAGTTCGCGGCCGGCCGGGCTTTGCACTCTGGCCACTGTCGAGGACCTGAGAGTCCTGTGTGATGAGTGAGTCCAGGACCAGCGCGCCCCAGCTCCTCATAGGACGGAGTAGTCTCGTTTGTCTTAGGTCTCTGTGAGGCCAAACTCTGCTCAGCTCAAACTTGGATTTACCGTCGGCACTGCTCCAGGAGTTTGGGGGGGGGGGCGCCTGCTCTTCCTGGCCGTTCATAGCTGTCTCAGCGGGGGCACGAAGAGGCCAGAGCCGGCTGTCCTGTCCTCGGCGACTGGAATCGGGGAAGGGCTCCTGGGCTCATTGCGTCCTCCTTTAAGGAAGTCTCGGAGGAGTGGAAAACTTGAGATTCTGAAATGAGGATTTTCAGGTGGCCCAAAAAACATTGACCCTGGCCGTTTCAGTCTGAGAGTCTGCAGATCCTCGGCGACACATGGAACAAACACGAGGCGACTCTCTCAGTCCTGGATGCAGCCGGCGCTGACCCCTGTAGGAACTGATGCCCTGGGGTCCTCTGATCCGGAGGCTGCGACGGTGCTCATCCTGACATCTGAGACAGCCCCTGGTCGCCGCAACCACGAGCTTCCGTGACACGAAATATCTGTGACAACGAAGTCGCCCGCGACCTCGGAGCCTCTAATCGAGGACGCCAATGCAGGGCATCAGCCTCCACCTTCCCAGTCGTTTGTTCTTCCACCCCCTCTGGTGCAAGGAGTCTGTTGACCCTGTTCACGAGGGACCGACCCGCAGAGCTCCGGTTCCCCATCTGGTAGCCTTGCTAAGGCAACAACCACAGAAGGAGACACAAACACAGGCGGCTTCGAAAGAGCGCGACGCGTGACGCACAGCTCCGAGAACGTCACAAGCCACTGCACCACTCTAAACTCAAACGGCTTTACCGCGGGTCCCAGGGCCCTGTGTGCGGGGTCTTCATTTCAACGCCGTCCCCGCTGTTGATCCAGTAAGTCCACCGTTAGGAAACCTGCAGCGTGCCGCAGCCGACAAGGACCTTACAAACTTTCTCTGGTTATATAACCCATGAAAGCTTCACCCCGAAAGCCCCTGCATTGCCTCTCGGGTCCTCTTCTTCCAGTTTCTCAAAAACTACTGAGATTCTGCGGAGGTGGGGCTCTTGAACACAGCGAGCTTGGTTAGGACATTTTAGCGGGACAGTTACTTTCTTTGGGAGAAGGGAGAAGAGTTGACACCTGTCCCTCCCTGTTCGCGATGTCATAAATAGATATTCTGGTCCCACTGGCATGTGTTAGCACAAATCCGTTCTGTCTGACTACCTGTACAGGAAGTTAACATTCCAAAATAAGTACTCCATTTCCGTTGAGTTGTCTCGGTACTACTAAACTGCTTGTTAAATCGCATCTTAAAAGGGAACTTCGGATTCCTGTCTGGGATTCTCCATCGGGGAGACTGTAGAAACCTCAGATTCGGACTTCAGGAGGTCCAGATCGCAGACAGTGAAGCCTTGTAGTAAATTCCTGGGTGTGGGAAAAGCCCCGAACGAGGCCGGTGTCGCTGACCTGATTGTAACAAGCATTTCGATAGTGAGCAGTGTGGGAAAAATTAAGGCAACTGGCTTCTTTGGTCGAGTTATTTCTGAGTGAAAAGGAACCGGCTCCATGTGGTGATTTAAATCTGAAAAGAGGATTAGCCAAGATCTCAATCCTCCTGACAGAGAAGCCAGGCATACCAGATAAAGATGGAGTGACCACCCAGGGCAGCTGACCTGGCATATGTTATTCTCTGGATTTCATCTGCAGTACCACAGTCAATACATCGTGTTTAAAGCCAAAGCCTTGTGGAGTGATTCGCTAAAGCACAGAGCAGTCAGTGATCTAGAATGGGGAGAAGGGTGAATGCCAGCTATATCCAGTTCTTCCTTCCTAGTCATTGTTGTGGGGTACTCAGCAGAGAAGACTACTACCCCACACATGGGCTTAAGCTCATTGAAAGTCTTTATTAGCTGGCCGGTGTCTACACCGGGTGTCCTGATCCCAGTGTAGCACTGGGTCTTTCTCAGAGTGAGCTTTTAAGAAAAAACCATGTACTAGGTTGACATAATTCTGTTACCGAAAACAGTTAGCCAGAAGCAGAGCTGCAAAAACCAAAAAGCAAAGTTAGTGCATTTAAAGACTGTCCCAGAACTATGGATTTGGATAGATTAAGTCTTTGTGTTAACTTTTGGCAGGTGGTGCTTCCTATGTACTGAGGTTTACAGCTGAGTATTACTTCCATCGTGGAGTCTGTAGTGGTAAGGTCTGGGGGCATTCTATGGCCTGGTGTCCTGTTATAACCCTAGGTTTCCATGGCCTCTTCTCTGGTAAATCCCTCAAGGGGTTTACCTTTCTTTAGATCAGCACCCTGGGGTGTATTTGATGGTTTAAAAAGCAAATGGACCAGCTCTCAGGAGGCAGAGACAGGTGAATCTCTGAGTTCTCTGCCAGCCTTGTCTACAGAGCTAGTTCCTGATTTGTTTCTTGTCTGGCTTTGTATCAATAAGATCAGAATAACGATATATAGACTCATGAAAAAGAAATAAGTTTCAAGAAATGATGTCAACAAGATCCTTACTGAGCCCTCCCTTCAGATGTGACTGAGCTGAGGTACTTAGCTGAGAGACTGAAGAATCCAAGGCTTGGAGTATCATCTGATCCATGTACTCTTCATGTCTTTGATTAAAAAAGAAAGAAAGAAAGAAAGAAAGAAAGAAAGAAAGAAGAAAGAGGGGATTCCAATGAAACAATATTGCAAGAAAATGGCAAAGAAACAGAATAGAAAGAGTAAAAGAGTTGAAGAGAACCTGAGGACAATGGGAAGGTGGAGTATTTCAAGTGGAAGGGTTCACAGATATCAATAATGCTTGGAACCAAAAGAAAATTTAGGTTGTCCAGAATGAATTGAAGCATTTCTT